TGGATAAATCAAAAAATACAGTTCTGAACTTCAATCTCACCACCAAGCGATCAATGTTACATGAAACACTTTAAATCGAGTCATAAATGTCTTCTGTTTTACTTCTTTTACGCTAAGTTTAATACTTTAAGCTAAAATTGAAGTTGGGTAATATTTCATTCACATTTGTTACGGTAGGGACATGTTTGTGTGCTTGCACCAACTGCCCGTCGTTGCACTTCCTCATTCAACGGCGCGACTGACGTGTAATGATGTCTTGGTTATGTCCTTTTTTCTCCGATATCCATCGTGCTCGGTGACGTCAGTTTTAACAAAATGTTATACATTTTACCGTCTTTTCTTTTTATGCCCTTGGTTCTTTTGGAGGTCCCTTTCCTCTCTGGTCGATCAAATTTTTTCATCAACTTGATTTTGGGTTTGTAGCACACGTTTCATATTGGCATTTTTTGAATTGGGCAAACTTTTATTTATTATTTTCTTTGTTTTCGACATATCGATTGTCTCACTATTCTGGAAATTTGTGTGAGTCATGTCCGAACTGAGGAAGAAAGCGTTACTATACAATTTAACTTTATCTCCTGTACAGTCATTTATTCAGTTATTTCATTTCTTAAATCTTCTTACTCTTGCTTTTCGGTGCTTCTTGTGTACTCAGGACTGCTCATCACTTTGTGTATATAGTTAATCACAACTCATTAACGTTTACTTATTTATGAACATTTTTAACGTTCTGTGGTGCGAAGTGCAAGTAATTTAGTCACCGAAATGGTAACAAAAACGAAGAAGAAGAACACATCACGAAAGAATTCCGCTGCATCTCCCACCAAAGAGAAGAAAGTGGAGTTTAACGGCTCTGGATTGAAAGCAAGCAAGTTCGTGCAGATTTTGGAACGATTGTTCGATGTTGTAAATGCCTTTACATTTTCCAAGCATTTCTTTTCAGTGGCCATTTCAAAAATGGTGGTCTCAGGCCGTCCCCGTCCACGAATACTTTAAATAGACTTGCACGAGAGAAAATTGTTTTGTGGAGACAACCGCTAACAACCACTTATTATGCTTTAATGGAAGTGCTCAACTTAACATGCGAATTTATAGCGGGGTAAGAGTTTAATTCTTTGCTTATGCCTTAATATCATTCTACTTTACCCAGGATGTTTCACCAAAAAGCGTTGTTGTTCTCAATTTCTGTTATTTCTGCACTTATTTATTACGCGTATATTACTCCTGGTCCACATCAGCAGCATATCGCTGTAATAGAGAAGACATGCGCATGGTGAGTGTGTTACTGTATTGATCTCATGCATTATTTGTTGCGTACCGTCTCATTGTTGAAGTGTATTGTCCAAGTAATCT